TCCATGGTTATAATTTATTACATTGGAATCGTAATCATGATCCAATTCATCAGACCTACAAATAAATATATATATATATATATATATATATATATATATATATTAGGTTCAAAATTTAGTCAATCTCGCTAAAAAGGGAAATATTAAAGCCAGGTCTAGTTGAACCTAATAGAATCTTTTCATTTTCTTTTTTTCTTTTCATTTCAAAATAATCACAAACTTTCACGAATATGTAACAGTGACGAAGAGACAAATCATTTTAAAATTTTCAGTTATCTGTTCGGATCGACCATGTTTTAAAGACTGAAAATAAAATTGAACTGAAAGATTATTGTTGAAAAAGGTTTTGACGGACACGCATGTCTAAATTATTTTTTTTTTTTTTTACGAATTCTTCATTCTGTCGGAAACCATTTAAACTTGCTTATAAATAAATATATTGTTTTCAATCGTTAGTAGAGTCTACCTGGGATTGAATAGACAAATTTTATTATGAAAACAATTGTCAAAGATTATTGTAAATGTCTAAATTTTTTTTTTTTTTTTAAAGTCAAACCCAAACTCAAACATTCTGAATGAATAAAAATAAAAATTGTCTTGTAAATGGAATTTTTAAAGTGTTCTGAATGTAAAATAAAGAAATAAGTGTGCAAGACAATAAGAAACACTACCTGCTAAAAAAAAAAGTGAAGTTTTGTTGAAATCGGTTGAAAAATGTAGGAAATCTGATCCCATATATAAACGAACACACACACAAACAACCTGGGTTTTATAATAAGTATAACTTGATATGAAATGTCCTCCTTTCATTCTAGTGATGCCTCTTAATTGTGTTTTCAAATTGATTTCGTGCTAAAACAATTGTGTTTTTCCAATTTTTGGCGCTGTCAGAACCAACGCAAGGTAATTTTACGTAGTCCTGTGAAATTTTGTTGAAATCGGTTGAAAAATGTAGGAAATCCGATCCAATATATAAACGTACACACACACACACACAATCTGCGTTTTATAATAAGTAAGATATGTATATATATGCGACAAACGTCTTACGGATTGAGATGGATCGTCCCTAACAGATCTCTTTAGCTCTATCTTGAAATGATGATTCCTCATCCTGTTGTGACCTCCTGATCCAGATTTCCTCTCTACTGTCCCCTCTTTTTCAAACTTATTCACCGTTCTCTTGATGATTCTTGAATTGACTCTGAAGATGGGAGCCAGAGTAAGAATGTTGCCATCATTACTGAAGGCCTGAATGATCTTTTTCCTCTCACCATTTCTCACTTGGGAAGACAGTGGGTCTGACAAAAAACGATTTTAACCTGTTCTCTTTCTAACTGAATAGCTTATAGAGTTTTTCAGTGATTTTTACGACAAATGATGTCAAGGTGGCTAAACGTGTTATCTGAAAACCTGGAAAAAGATAATCAGTCACTTTAGTTTTTTTAAACATTTTGTAGGATTTCTTCTTTCCGGTCTCTTTTTCTCTCTTTCTTATATATATAAATGTGTGTGTGTTTGTGTGTGTGTGTGTGTGTGTGTGTGTATCTATGTTCGTGCGCGCGCGGGTGTGTGTGTTTATGTGTGTAAAAAAACATAAATTAAATAAAGAGTTCAATTAAGAATTCCTGATGAAGTCCGTAGGGCACAACAATCGAAACGTTTTGATAACAACAACTAAGATGAGGACAATAACTAGCGTGTGGATAGAGTTAATAATGATAACTCCTCATTCCAGAAATTCAGGCACAAACTGACAATTTGTGGAACAGACTCCCGTGTGAGTGTTTTCCTGAACAATTTAATTTCGATCTCTACAACCGAAGATTAATCGTTATCTAACCTACATATCATCATTATCTTCACTTCTTAGCACCTCCTCTTTCATTCATGTCTCACACATCTTTCATCATAATCATTTTAATAGTAACCTATATTTCGTGTGACCATGGGATGACGATAAAATACATCCGGCAACAAGGCCTTTGATCGGGAGAGTTGATATTTTGACGGGCATGGGACCACCTCTTAATTGCTTCTGTTCCCAGGTCTACTCTGACCCGGGGTGGTAGCACTGGTCTTGGTCCCAGTTATGGGCAAATAGTTAACTCCAAACTAGCCTTCTTCAGGTGATTGGAATTTCGAACCGAGCCCATTATCCCCTGAAGACGGCTGGAACATACAACGAGCAAAATGTTGTGAATACGGCAATGAAGATGAAGATAACAGTTCGAATAATGTAAATAATGAAAGTAATCATAATACCTCATCTCAGAGATATAGAGGCCGAAACGTTGTGAATATGGCAATGAAGATGACGATAACAGTCCGAATAATGTAAATAATGAAAGTAATACCTCATCCCAGAGATATAGAGGCCGAAACGTTGTGAATATGGCAATGAAGATGAGGATAACAGTCCGAATAATGTAAATAATGCAAGTAATCATATTAACTCATCTCAGAGACATAGACATGTATTGAAGATGGCCGGAGAGTACAACGGCCGAAACATTGTGAATATGGCAATGAAGATGAGGATAACAGTCCGAATAATGTAAATAATGCAAGTAATCATATTAACTCATCTCAGAGACATAGACATGTATTGAAGATGGCCGGAGAGTACAACGGCCGAAACGTTGTGAATATGGCAATGAAGATGAGGATAACAGTCCGAATAATGTAAATAATGCAAGTAATCATATTACGTCATCTCAGAGACATAGACATGTATTGAAGATGGCCGGAGAGTACAACGGCCGAATCGTTGTGAATATGGCAATGAAGATGAGGATAACAGTCCAAATAATGTAAATAATGCAAGTAATCATATTACGTCATCTCAGAGACATAGACATGTATTTAAGATGGCCGGAGAGTACAACGGCCGAAACGTTGTGAATATGGCAATGAAGATGAGGATAACAGTCCGAATAATGTAAATAATGCAAGTAATCATATTACGTCATCTCAGAGACATAGACATGTATTGAAGATGGCCGGAGAGTACAACGGCCGAAACGTTGTGAATATGGCAATGAAGATGAGGATAACAGTCCGAATAATGTAAATAATGCAAGTAATCATATTACGTCATCTCAGAGACATAGACATGTATTTAAGATGGCCGGAGAGTACAACGGCCGAAACGTTGTGAATATGGCAATGAAGATGAGGATAACAGTCCGAATAATGTAAATAATGCAAGTAATCATATTACGTCATCTCAGAGACATAGACATGTATTGAAGATGGCCGGAGAGTACAACGGCCGAATCGTTGTGAATATGGCAATGAAGATGAGGATAACAGTCCAAATAATGTAAATAATGCAAGTAATCATATTACGTCATCTCAGAGACATAGACATGTATTTAAGATGGCCGGAGAGTACAACGGCCGAAACGTTGTGAATATGGCAATGAAGATGAGGATAACAGTCCGAATAATGTAAATAATGCAAGTAATCATAATACCTCATATCAGAAATATAGACAGACAATAAAATTTTGTTTAAGAAATTGATAATGTTCCCAGGGAAATTAAATTTTCATAAGGAGTTGATATACCGCTACACAAACAAAATATCTACCACGCTGGACTCTCTAGCGCTGTATTGGGTGAACTGTAGTATTCAAAAAGAAAGGATAATAACTATAATACATGAAATCTATTATATTATGTCAACTATAATATATAAAAAATGGTATAACACATGTAAAACAATGTTTGTGTGTTTGCCTGTGTGATACCTTTTCACTCGAGATCCATCCAACCGATTTAGACCAAAGTTGGCACATACGTTGTACTATGTAAGAGATAGGTTCTTAGCGGAAAAAATCGATATTACTTTTAAAAAATCAATAATCGATAAAGCGATCAAAAATCGATAACTTCAACTATTTTCCTCCGATTTCGTTCAAACTCGGTATGTAGGTTACTTACATCATGACGAGCTCAACGATGCCTTATTTTTTTTATTTCCACGCCACTGCGTTTAGCGAAAAATGAAAAATCGATTTCAGCACATATCGATTTCAACACAAATTTTAAACTAAAAACTCCCTCAATTTTAAATAATCTACACACAATTGTAGCCAACAATGAGTTGATTGTTTAACAGTCATTTAACTTGATAATTGAGTTCACCCATATGGTGAAAACCGGCCTAACTAGTAAAAAATGTCGATTTTTACTTGTTTCTTTCTTATTTTTCGTTTATCTTTCAAACAATTTTCATCAGACTTAACAATTGCGTTATAAATGTATCCCTCTTTTACTTCCGTGGTAGCACACTGACAAATTGAATGTCAAAAACTTCAAAATAATTGTCGTCTGAAGTTGGGTCTTCGTGTCGCCTGTTTTACCCCTTCATATCCTCGGCTAACTTCGATTGAATAAATAGATTACTTCTGTTATATCAGTAACTGCATTAATTCAAAATGTTTATTTTTTAATGAAAGTACTTTAAAGTAATTGAAGAAGATAGACTCTGTTGCTTCTAAACATGATACTATTTTTGCTCCATTCTAATTGAACGTTTTTTTTCTGATCGAGCAGCTGGGTACGGCTGCCTGTGGTATCAATAAATATGTTACACTCTCAGTCGTGTCAAATTTACGCAGTCGATAAAACTTTTCATCCATTCATGACTGAACGTTTGTGCAGATATTCATGGAAAGAGGAAGGTGTAGAAATTATATTTGATTGTCATTGATATCCATGATGATGTTGCAATTATCATTAAGTATACAATACGCATGCGCGAGGAAACATACTAACACACACACAGAGACGAATTTTAGATAATATAGCGTTAACAAGACTATAAACATCGTGCGATGATGAAAAGGTACCTGAGGGAGAGATTTTTGTATTGTGTGTCTTTGTGTGCGTCTTTGTGTGTCTGTGTGTGTAAAAGAGAGAGAAAGAGAAAGAAATGAACTCCCACATGCTAAACTATGTCTTTTGATTTGTGCTCTTAATCATTCATCCGTCTAACCAAGTGACTTTACTGACCTCCCCAGCCACGCCTCTTCGCTTTCTTTCTTATCATTCGCATTTATCACCCTGCCACAGCCATCCACCCCGACCATGACCGGCCGTCTCGGTAGATTTCGATTCGCTACGCAAAATCCAGTGACACTTAGGGAACCCAAGGCACGGGATGGTGGATCGCTAACATTTAAAAAGCAATATAATGGTAGCCTAATGAAGCACCTTTTTTACCAGTCAGCCATGAAATTACTATCTCAACAATCCGAAAACGAACTGTCGGCCATAGTGACACCCGTTTTCCGCCATTTGCAGCTTTTTGAAAAGTTTGCTGGCGGTGATCAATTTCGCTTGGTCATTACAATGTTTAATTTTTTTTTCTTTCTCTGTACTCTTTCTTTTTTGCTTTTTTTTTGTGTTTTTCATTTTGATATATTTATTTATTCAATCTACTTTAGCATACCTTACCCAGTGTATTTTATATTATAATCATCTCTTCGTCCCATGAAGGATGACAGCACATTTATGTAATAATTTCACCGCTGATTTCTTATATTTTCTGCATGAGTAACCTCTGATCTTTATCTACATAATTAACACTATTGTCTTCCAACCTGCTGAACTCTCTTCCGGATTCTTGCATTCTTACAGACTTCAAAAATTCAAATGGAACGTCAATCGCCACCTTCGTTTTTCCCGAAACCTGTTCTTTTATTGTCCTTTCTCTTCATTACGTCTACCTATTCTCTTCCCCATCCATGAAACATCTCGAGTCTCAGTGGCTTTATCGCCTTGTTTGGGGGTGAAATGCTTTTAAAAAATGTTTAAAAAAAACTCTGCTTTTTAATTTATTTAAAGTAAAAAATATTCAAACGCCTCTAATATAACATACACCTTCAAATTTGCCGACAATATTTAACTAGTTTTACAATTAGTTATATTTTTCATCTATCGATATCTCCTGACGAGTGTACCAACCGATTGCCAAAAAAAGGTTCGTCTACGAATCTCTGAAGTCGGAGTACTAAATATAACTTCAATCAGCTAAGTGACAAACTTCATATTTGTATTAATCCGATATATATATATATATATATATGTGTGTGTGTGTGTGTGTGTGTGTGTGTCTGTGTGTGTGTGTCTGTGTGTGTCTGTGAAAAGTGTATACAAATATAAATAAATATATATATTATAATTATTTATATATTATATGCGCGGTACTTATTAGAAAGCGCTTAATATCAGAGATAGAGGTAACATATTTGACTCACATCTATCCAACCAAATATATATATATATATATATATATATATATATATATATATATATATATATAAAATTAATAATAATACAAAGTTTTTCACTATACATGAGAACCTTAGGTATTCTGTTGTAGCTCCTCCTTGCAACATGACCATCCCAGCGAAGTTATGACTGCATCAGGAATGTTTCACCAATATTGTATTTTGCGAGATCAGCATTGGATACGCTATCGTCAAATGTAGAGCCACAGATCGCGCGGAGGCAGCTTTTGTGAAACACACACACACACACACATAGATAGATAGATAGATAGATAGATAGATAGATAGATAGATAGATAATGGCGTATATGGTCTCAGCTCCATCAAGATAGATAGATAGATAGATAGATAGCCAATCTTTTTTAGCAATGCTAATTCATATTGGTGTTTATTTGGTAGAGGAGTATTTACTCTACTTCGTGTATTGAGTACTTTTACGTATCAGCTTAGTTAACTCTGTCGGTGTTTAGAGTTTTGGCTAAACATTGCGGTACTCTTTAGCTTGTCTTCATACTTGAACCACGGCCGTCCAACAGTACTTTGTTCACTGTGAAGCTGGCTATGCATGAGGACCTTAGCTATTCTGTCGTCACTCATCCTTGCAATGTGACTAGCCCAGTTACATTGTGAATGCATCGGAAAAGTCTCGGCCCCACCAATGTTGAATTTTGTGAAAAGATCAACATTGGGCAGCATATCGTCAAAAGTATAGCCACAGATCGCACAGAGACAACTTTTGTGGAAGACATCCAGATGACTGATATGGAACCTTTATAGGGTCCACGATACTGAGACGTACAACATTGTGGTCAAAACGGCTGCTTATTAAACCTATATTTTCGTGTCCAATTTGATACCTCTGTCATTCTATAGGCGGTGACGAAGCATCCCAAATGCACTTGTAGCTTTGGTGATCCGATTTATTTCGTCATCAAGGGATGTATTTGCATTCATCTTACTTCCGCAATATTTAAATGATTTCACATACTTCTAGTCTTCTCATCAGTCTATATAAGAGTGTTTGGGAATTGATGAACTGGTGGAGGGTGTCTGATAAACTGAATTTGCTTTGGACAAAGAGGCAGCTGGGATATTACCTCCGTTTTCTTTATGCTAATGGTAAAGCCAAAAGCTTTGCATACAGCAGAGAAACGGTTGACGTGATCTTCAAATGCAGCATCATCAGCAAACATCAGATCACGAATGACGCTAGTTCGATGAAGTATGTTCGATTTGAACCGCTGATTGGTGAAAAGGCCACCACTGGAGCGAAATAGAAATTTAACACCAATGCCCATGTCACTAAAGGCATATTTGAGTATTACTGATATTCATGCCATTTGTAACATCAAAGAAATCAGAAAATTCCCCATCAAATACAACAGCAGATTCATCCCTCCGTGAAAGGAGATTAAAACAGATTGATATGGGACCTCTATTGGGTACACGATTCTGAGCTGTACTGCAATGTGGTCAAAACACCTAGTCTATAAACCTGTATGTTGGTGTCCAGTTTGATACCTCTCTCATTGAATTCATCTTACTTCCTAAAAATGTAAAGGATTTCACATACTTCAAGTCCCCCCCATCAATCTCTATATGAGTGTCTGGAAATTGATTAACTGATAGAGACTGTCTGATATCTTGATCTGCTTTAGGTGGATTCACTACGTTTTCATTATGTTAATTGTAAGACCAAAACCTTTGTATGCAACAGAGAAACGGTCGACGAGTCCTTGAGCTTCCTCTAGGGATCTTGTCACAAGTTCAGCATCAACAGCAAATAACAGATCATGAATGACACTAAGTTCAAAGAAGTGTTTTTGATTTGAACCGCTGATGGTTGAAAAGGTCACCACTGGTTCGAAATTGAAATTTAACATCAGTGTCCATGTCACCAAAGGCATCTTTGAGAATTACGGATTTCAATAGAGCAAAGAGATCAAGGGCCATGAGACATCGTGGCTTCGTGCCATTTGTAATATCAAAGGAATTAGAAAATTCCCCATCAGATACAACAGCGGATTCACCCCCTCGTGAAAGATTATAAGATTCAACATTTTGTCTGGGATTTCAAGCTTTTAAAAGAATGTTCCATAGTGATTCATGATTTGCAGTGTCGAAGACCTTAGTAAGGTCAGCAGACACCATATACAAATCCTGGTTCTTTTCAGGCACTTTTTTGGCTACCTGTTGGAATGCGATCATGTCCATACTGCCTTGTCTGTACCATACTGGGGTTCCGGATAAATCTCATTATCAGCTTGATAATCCTGTTCAGATTCAGTTTAGCTAATATTTTACCACCAATTGACAGCAGAGGTATTCCACGATGGTTGTCACAAACATTTCTTTTACCTTTATTATTGTATAGGAAAAAACGCGGTAACCGTAGAAAAGGTTGAAAGAAATAACAATGAACAATCCATATATAATTTCAAACAATAATCATAATAGATATATAATGAAATAAATAATAAAATGAGGACAACAGTCCAAACAATGTAAATAGTGTAAAAAATTACAATACCTCATGACAGAAATAAATAATAATTGCAAATTATATTCGACTATTATATCACTTTTAGCAATATTTACATTTTTCAATTAAATTTAAAATCCGTTAATTTTTTTGGATCTTCGTCAAAATGCGTAGATTGGCATTCTGAACGGAAGAAGAGACTCGAGGCAACGGACATATGGTTCTACAGAAGGATGCTAAGGATATATTCGACCGAGCGTGTGAGCAACGATGAGGTTTGGGAGAGGATGCAAACAAAGAGGAAGCTTATACTTCACATCAGGAAGAGGCAGTTGAAATTTCTGGGACACGTAATGAGAAAAGAGGGCTTGGAGAATCTGATACTCACAGGTCGAAAAGATGGAAAGGGAGACAAGTGAAAGAAACGCATGACATAGCTGGTGGGCTTAAACAAGCAGATGACAGAACGTGGTCTGGGGGAGGCGGCAGAAAGTTGAAACTTATTGAGAGCTACAATGAATATGGGGAAGTGGAGAGCCATTATCGCCTACGTCCTGAAGGGACACGGCACATGAAAAGAAAATAATTTTCCTTTCTTTCACCATAAGGTCAGTTTTAGACCCACTGGGGTGACAGGGTGTAATATATTTCTAGTTTTTTTCCTCAGATTAGGCCATTTGCAGTGGTATGCAGTAATATGAATCTATTTTCAGGGTGTATGATGAAATTTGTTTGGCCTTGAAAAATATTGCGTCATCCGTGATTGCATCAGATTTTTATCACGGCCAGACACTATTGTCTCGACTGTCGATTAGTTGTCCTACCACCATTGTCTGCGATGGACGTTACTCAAGGAAGCGTACATTGTAACGCTGCGCGAACACAATGGCAAGCCTTACCAGTAAGCAAATCAAAATACTATAGACTGGCCCGGAAACTCTCTAGATTTAAATCCAATCGAGAATCTGTGGTCAGTCTGCAAGAAACGACTTCGTGTAATGGACATATCAAGTATTAACATGTTCATTGGAAAAATACGAAAAAAAGTACATAATAACGGAATTATTCGTTTTGTTTCAATTAATCTGCACTATAGTGTAGGTGATAATGGCCCTCTACATCTTCCTGTATAATTAATTTGAACAAGGGTGTATATATATATATATATATATATATATATATATATAATGGACCCTCCCGTTGGTTTCGATGTATGACGATCTGACAACATAACCAATTGATACAGTTATGAATTTTGTGCGATAATCCTAATTGGCACTTAAGACCCGAAAGTGATTTGCAAAGGAAGCCACATATGGAGCAAGTGAGGATTGTGGGATGAGATCACTGTTAGATTGGCTGACCATTTAGATCTTGCACTCGCTTCTTGAAGACGATTCAGATTAACGGATTGAAAACTGCTGAATCCACTAAAACACGCTGATCTCCATTCTACCCGCTCCAAGGTCAAGCGCTCAAGGGTGTTATGAGGTATATTGACAGTTGACAAGTCTTTGTATCAAAGACATAGGCGTCTTACATTCCTGATCTAACTGGCTGTACATTAGGATCTTGGGTATCCTGTCATCAGACATTCTCAAGACATGACCAGTCCACCGCAACTGAGATTGCATGAGAAAAGTCTAGATTCCAACAATATTACACCTGCTAAAGTGGTCTACATTGGATGTCCTATTTTGAAGGCTAACTCCACAGGTGTCACACAGACAGCTTTTATGGAATACACCCAGCTGGCGTATATGGTACCTGTATAGAGTCCAAGGCTCAATCTACAACACCAAAGAGCTTAGACAGCCCTGGTAGGCTGGTTTGCCCATAGCTGGGAGCCTAACATGTGCTACCACCCCGAGTCAGGGTGAACAACAGTATTTAAAAAGTAGTTCCATACTCCTCAAATCCTCCAATTTCCCGATCAGAAGACTTGCTGCTGGACATATATATATATATATATATATATATATATATATATATATATATACAGGGTGATCCAAAAACTGAAATTTTGAAGTGCATATTTCCAGACATGAGCAAGTGGCAACACTGCGAGACAGTGACCTTGAGCAAGTAAAGAGTTCGCCATTTAGAATTCAAGATGAAATTCACAGTATCCCAGCTGAGATGTTGCAGCAGTCAATGAGGAATCTCAACAGTAGATTTCAAGAATGCATTCGTACAGGAAGACGCCATCTACAGGACGTAATTTTTAAAAAATGAAAATTCCATCATTGTTTCTTAAATGGCATATTTTAAGGTTTCAATTACTATGAATAAAATATTTTTCTTCCATCACTCTTGGTTTTATTGGATAGTTAAAAAGTTCCTGTTTTTTCACATATATATATATATATATATATATATATATATATATGTGTGTGTGTGTGTGTGTGTGTGTGTGTGTGTGTGTGTGTGTGTAATGAAACTGTCTAGCAAGATAAAAAAAATAACACTTTTTCATGTTTGAGGATGGTTTCTTCTAGTCACTTTCCTTTTCAATTTCTTTCATTATTCCTTTTTTGCACCATGATATCTCATTTAATAATTTATATAAAAAGAAAACACAAAACACAATGAAATTCAAGAGAAGGCACGGCGAATTCGGGCGGAAATGTGTACAGATCAGAAGTTACACCACAACTGACGCTCTCCCGCAGATACACCCGGCTTATTGCCTCACGGTGTCGCCGGCTTGTGTGTTTGTTGCTCGAGACACAGTTCGCCATCTGAGACGTTTTTTGTTCGGAAAATTTGTTCTTGATACGATTTTTCCGTACTTAGAGGCGTTCGGGACCCAAAATTCTAAGTGACAGCAAGCTGTTCTCCCTCATCCTGAAGAGACACGGGAATTTAAAAAAAATCCTATTGTAATGAGCTTAATCCTAGCTCTAAGTCTCATTGTTTTGGCCTTGTGTCCAACTGCTCCGAAGTTAATAAAACTTGAATACACAGAACATCTAGTGTGCGCCCCTAAATACACACACAAGATTCTTACTCACTCTCGCTCCGACACATGCCTCTATTGTCAACAAATAGGAATAGCGGGGAGGCGGGAGGGATTCACTCAGAATATCTGGACAACAGGTGAGCCTTTCAAAATACCTGTCAATAAGAAGAACCGGAATACATTGCATCACAGTCCCAAATAATGCCATATCCGGCAGGTGTAAACATTGGAGTGACTTGCGTCCGGTGAAACTACAGGTGTGGGCGTGCTAATTGTAGAAATGGTGGAAGGGACAGCAAAATGTGTTGACACAGACCCTTCTTTCTCTTCTCGAAATTTCCACCCTGAAAGTTTAAAACAATAAGGATCTGAACCTTCACTTCTTTAAGCATTAAGATCAAAGTAGGGTACTAAAGTCTTCGAGGTGTTTCTTTCTAATATTTGCAAAGATTAGCTTAGTATGGCACAAGGCCATACATGGGTGAATAAAAGAGATGGGAACATCCTATCTACCTTGGAACTCACTGTCTGATATCATACCATTGTAATGTTACAACTCATAACAATATTCTTTTTAAGCAAATCACCCCACGTAAGCAAGGGGTTACAGAGAGTGAGAGTAAGAATAAAGAGGAGTGTTTGGAAAAAGGATAAAAAAAAGGATAGGGATCAAAGTCAAGACATCAGAAGATGTCGACTGACATTATATTTGAATATTTGAAGATTATAGCTATCAGGGAAGCAAGTGATAGGAAGGGAGTCCCACTGACGGGATGTGAGAGATAAGCTGTTGGAGTAGAAAATATGGCTATATTTAGCCGTTTCGACAGTGAAAGGTTGGGACCAAGATGCCAACCTAGTAGCATGTTTAAATTCATGCTGTTTGGGAACCAGTAAAAGTAGCTCGTCGGTGCAGTTGCCACGAAAATACTTGTAATTACCAAATATAAACTAATAACAATATTACCAAATATAAACACACGTTAAAAACATTATATTACATCACCAATCTTTATTGAATCCATTCTTAAAGAATCTAACGTATGTCATATAAACCAAACGCTATGCTAAGGACGGTCCGAAAGTCTTGTCACCTCATACCTGAAACGTAATGAGAACAATAAAAGAACAAGTAATACAGTAATACAAAATGCATTAACTGGATTCAGTTGATTCCCGTTAATTGACGCTATTCACGCCTCAAGAAGGTCTGTATGACACATTTAGGAGCTCGTGTCAGGCATTTGAAATCGAAAATTATATTATCTAGGGGGTGACAAGAGTTTCGGACCATTCCGTAGATTAAAATAGCTTTAGATAGATAAATAGATACAGGGTGGTTGTTTGAAAGTCTTGTCACCCCCTACCCATAGGTAATGAAAACAACAGAACAAGTTATCCAGTAATACAAATCACATGTACAGTATTTAGTCTATTCACTTTCATTGACGCTATTCACGCATCAAGAAGGTCTGTATGGACGCCATCATTTTCGTGGCAAAAAATGACATGGCGCCATGTCCTATGTGATATTTTACGAAGCCGTTGATTATTGCAAAGGCTCTCTGAACGGCGTCTTTCAATTGATGGGAAAACTCTCTCTTTGATAATACTTCACACAGCGTTGAAATAGAAAATTATATTATATAGAAGGGGTGACAAGTCTTTCGGACCACTCTGTATGCAAAAAATGTTCCCAAATCAACATGCGAAAAATCAATAAACATAATGTTTACTAGACGAACTAGAAGTAATATTTATGGCTTTTTGGTTAGACTTGTGTTATAAAATAAAATAAGACATTTTATCTTATAACACTTGGAATCCATTAATTTCTTGGAATGGATGCGTTGTCTCTCTCTTTGAAATTGGAACATCATAAATTATACTAAAATTGGTTGAAAATGTCGAATGCAAGTGAAATACGATTAACCATTACGTTTAAGCATGAAACAGACCGCGACCACTGTATGTTGACTTCAATGTCCACTCTTATATTTACGATATATTTTTATATTGCTCACTTTAACCCATCAATATAGCATACCTTAAAACTATACTTATATATATATATATATATATATATATATATATATATATATATATATATATATTTAGGCAGTAATTTTCATTAATGCATGTTTCATTAAATAATATAGACATATTTTTGTCTGTTTATTTTAAGTAAGTTCCTTTCATATTGTCTGATAAGCTTAATAACATTCTTATTGAATACAAGTATTTGATAGGTCATTTCAGCTCATGTGACAGCGTTTCCCGTTACGAGTTGGTAGTTAATTAATTTGAACCTTTTAAAACCTTTATTCTACAATCTACATTCAACATCATCACTTGATATGACACCAGAAATGTTGAAACAAAATGGCTATTTTGTAGTGATTTTATAACATATTTATGTTATAATTTTTAAATAAATAATTATATTCGTTCTACTCTGTATTGAGCACTCTTTTAAGAATAGTAGTTGTTGGTTATTGTAATTCATTCCGTATACACCAATCATATACTTGTATATATATATATATATATATATATATATATATATATATATATATATATATATATAATGAAAAAACAGACCACTTTAAGGTACCATTACAATAATTTATTTCACCAAAATCCTTTTAAAGGACTCGGATCATCAGGTAACACTTCCAACAACGAAATGAAAAGGAAAATGGGATTAGAAATTGATGGGTAGGTATATATATATATATATATATATATATATATATATATATCTTACCAACTATATTACAATATTCTATTTATTTTTAATATATTACAAACACATGTCAAAAACAATATATTAAATACCAACCTTTATTGAATCCGTGCTTAAAGAATATAACGTATGTTTCTTTAAAAAAAAACGGTATGTACACAAAAAAACGTACCCAAATCAGCATGAGAATATATATATATATGTGTGTGTGTGTGTGTGTGAAGAGACAATTGCGCCAAGAAGAGTGTCTAAACGTTTGGCTACCCAATTGTTCAGCATCCCATTTGATAATTCTCTGCGCTGCCCTGATGATGTATGGAATATGTAGAAAGATTATCGTAGAATTATTTAAAGTGAGTAAGGTTTCCTTGTACCATGAGATAATCCTAACGAGAACTAGAGGTCTTACCAGGATTACTATTGGCAGAAATAGTTTTAAAACATTTATTTCATTATCATCAATTTCTTTTTTCTTCGATTCTATTTCTTTCGTTTTTCTTAAGAAGCCTTCATTCTTTTTCTGCTGTTTATAAATTATAAACAGATCCTAGAGATTTATGTTGGGTTTTCTTCCTAACCAATAAGATAAACTACTTCTCGGTCTCATTCGCCATATTTTTGTTATTCATTATTCTTGTCTTGAAATCAGAACGCTACAATTTCACTGTCTCCCATTCTTACTATGTGAACTTACTTTATGTCTTATTACTGTTGCTTTGACTGCATTCATCTTGCATATATATATATATATATATATATATATATATATATATATATATTGACTACTTATTAATATTTTTGTCCTGTTCTTTTCCTGGTTTTATTATTGTTTCTTGGAAACTTTGTCGGTCCTATTTCTAGAATATTTTCTGCCAATTCCATTTAACTATTCTTCTGCATCTCCATTGATTTCTTTCATTCTCTTAAATTTCTCTTTCTTTAATTTCATTTACTTTTCATTCATTCTCTTCAACTTCTTTCTTTCATTCTCATCGATTTATTTTCTTTCTTTATCATAAATTTCTTTTGTTTCATTCTCCTCGATTTATTTTCTTTCTCTATCGTCAATATTTTTTCTTTCATTCTTACCATTTTTTCTTTCATTCTTTTTTTTATTTCTTTATTTATCGTCAATTTTTTTCTTTCATTCTCTTTAATTTCTTTTCTTTCTTCATGCTCAATTTTTCTTTCATTATCTTTAATTTTTTCTTTATCTTTAGTTGCCTTTTTTTTCATTCTCTTCTATTTCTTTTCTTCCTTTTTTTTTCATAAATTTACAAACTTTATCTTCAATTCCCTTTTCTCTTAAATTGATTTTCTTTCTGTATCGACAATTTTTTCTTTGTTTTTCTTCTTTTTTTTCTTTGACTTTCATTTTCTTTCTTCCCTTTGTCTTCAATTCTCTTTTGTCTGTGATTTTCTTTATTTTCGATTACCTTTTTTTTCTTTGTTTTATGTGATTTTCTTTTCTTTTTCCTTTTCATTTATTTGCAATTTTCTTTCTATTCGTAAAACTTCCTTCATTTTCTTTTTTTTTTTTCAGTTTGCTTTCTATTTTTCTTCTCTTCCGATTTATGTCAATTAAAAAAAAGCATAAAAAACAAAGAGAATATGACAATACGTTTAAAAAGAGGAAACTATTTTAATATCCGTTTTTCTGTTTATTTTCATTGCAAACATTTGTGATCCATAAATATTGAGAAAGAAAGAAAGAAAGAAAGAAAGAAAGAAAGAAAGAAAGAAAAAGAGTGAAAGAAGACAGGGAAAAGGCAGAACAAGAAAGAAAGTACTAAAAATAACGAAAAATAAGACAAATGAAAAGCAAATAGCAGGAACAGAAAGAAAGAAAGAAAGAAAGAAACAAACAAACAAACAAACAAACAAACAAAAAAGAAAAAAGAAAGAAAAGAGGGAGAAAAGAGAGAGAAGTGCGAGATAGAAAAAGAAGATACAACAAGAAAAAGAACGAAAAATAAGAAAAAAGAAAGAGTTAAATTGCTTGAACAGAAAGAAAGAAAGAAAGAAAGAAAGAAAGAAAAAAGAAAGAAAAAGAGTGAAAGGATAGAGAGAAAAGGCACAACAATAAAGAAAATACTAAAAAACGAAAAATAAGACAAATGAAAAGCAAATAGCAGGAACAGACAAAAAGAAAGAAAGAAACAAACAAACAAAAAAGAAAGAAAGAAAAAGAGGGAGAAATGCGAGATAGGGAAAGAAGATACAACAAGAAAAAGAACGAAAAATAAGAAAAAAGAAAGAGTTAAATTGCTTGAACAGAAAGAAAGAAAGAAAGAAAGAAAGAAAGAAAGAAAGAAAGAAAAAAAGAAAGAAAGAAAGAAAGAAAGAAAGAGACAGCCAACACTGAATATGGCGAAGGAGGAAAAAAGATAAAAAAATGAAGGAATGAAATAACGGGAATAGAAAAAAAAAAACAAAATAAGAAATAATCAAAGAACTATAGAAAAGAAAAGAATTGGATGAAAAGGAAAGAAAGAAATTGTCAGAATTAAAAGAAAGAAAAAGATAAAAAAAAGAAAAGTCAAAATTAAATATAACATTAGAAAAGGATTCGGAAGAAGTGCAAATCAACGAAAATCCTGATTCCGTTGAACTTGATAAGAAATCGGAAATAAAATTCACTAAGAAAACACAAACAGAAATAGAATCGCGTACCAAAAAAATGACAACAATATTTTTATTGAGTGATAATCATTCACATCCTATTGGTTAAGGTGTGTATACGTAATTTGCGGAAATACCTCCTCAGGCGAGTCTTCTGTTTAATCATTTTTATTTTTCGCGTCTGAGATGCTTAGATAGGCATATACGATTGCGTATATGTGTGTCAGAGAGAGTAGGTATGTGTGTGTAGCTTAATTTAAAATGAGAAATTGCTTTTATTAACTCGAAGGGATTGTTGTTGTTTTTTTTGGGTTTTCTGGGGTTTTTTTTTTTTTTGTTTTCTTTTTTGTTTTTTTGTTCTGTTGCTGTTTTGTCTTTTTACTTTAAAGAAACTGCGGATTAACATAGAAACTAACAAAAACTCTAAAATGATAAATATAGCCTGTTGTGAGCAAATGCACCCAAACTACAAACGAGACATAGTCGCCATTAAAAATACATCTCAAGTTGAATGCGATAAGATGAACAATTTACGACAACAGATAAAAAAATAATAATAGCAACTCCCACAAACACCGCACTTATGTTATCTACGAATTCATTATAAGCACTGAGAAATCGCATCCTCTGTAATGTTTCTTCTTCTTCTTCTTCTTCGTCATCGTCGTCGTCTTTATGTGCCGTGTCTCTTCAGTGGGATAGGCGATCAGATCTCTCCGCATCTTCCTATCCTTTGTAGTACTTAGTAATGTTTGTCTCTTTACCATTCCTTCCTGTCCTTGTTCTGACATTCATTTACACGAGCTTGTTGGGTAGACGACTCACTCTTTCTCCCCGTCCGTGTCTTCAATCTGTTCTGTGAGTGTCGAATTCACCAAGCCTCCTTTCCTTATTATGAGTCCCAGAAATTTCAACTGTCACTTTCTGATTTTAAATATATTGCAATATATTTTAATAATATAGTTTTGGCTCCACTTTCCTCTTTTTTTTCGTTTTTTTCACAGTTTCCGTTCTTGGTAGTCTCAGCATCTTTCTGTAGAACCACATATCTGTTTCTTTGAGTCTCTTCTTCATCTGTGTGGAAATTGTCCAATATTCACTGCCATATAGGAAGATTGATATTACGTAACACTTCAACGCAGATTTCTTTGTTTTTAACGAAATTTTCTTGTTTCTTAATTTTTTTCTTTTGTACTAAATTTCACCCTATATAAGGCACAAGAGTCACTCATGGTAGAGGGTTAATGAAGGCGATTGTTGTGGGAGCGGTAAGAGTAAGGGGCGTAGTTTATGCGGATATGTGTCACAGATAAAGACAATCCATAGAGTGAAGAGGTTAAAATTTTAATGATCGGGAAGCATTTTCTCAGGAGTTTGTTACACAAAGCAACAGTTCATGAGAAGAAGTTATCTGAGTGGAAGTTACTCCTTACTAATGTAATACGAAAGGAATGAGGATGAGAAGAAAGGCGTGTTCTTCATCTGTAAACGAAATGTCCTCAGGCTGGTACAGAGTGTCCGTCGGTTGCCATGTCGTGCCAGAATGTTATATGCACCGTCACCCCATCGGAACTGCTGTCGGATAAATAAAAGTTAATTCTCCCCACAAATACAGGTTGTTGTTACCTTCAGAATGAAGAAATTGAAACTTTTCTTGACTTCATCCCTTGGCTGCTTTGGCCAACACTGGCAAGCCATCTTCAAAGAAAAAAAAAAGACGAAACACAACGTGGGGTCGATTACTTGTTTAGCGACTGTGTCTGGACAGTAGGGTATGGCCATAAGAACATTTTCCAAAGCAACATCGACATAGTAGCGAGAGGTTTGCAATATTTCTGCTGTAGGAAGGTGGAAAACCATTCATCATCCACAAGGCTGTGGGTTGTGGTGTAGCTGAACACCCCCACATGGACTGGCCTACGTCTATTTAAACAGTACCCTTAACTTTTCAGTTTGATTTTTTTCCATCCTATTCTCCAAGTCAAAATCTTATCGCGAGTAATTGCTTTTAACCCCGAAGCTTTACTAGATAGGCATCTTTTAGCAATCATATTCATCCACGCTGTTTGGATGATACGTACGTGTTGAAAGCGCTGCCTGTGGTCAGGTTTCGATTCAAACTTTGAATACCGTCTCTCATGACAAAGAAGGCAGAGAAAACAAACAAACAAAAGAAAAAAATAATAACAACAACAAAAAGGATAAAGAAAATAAATGAAAAACTAGAGTCAAAATTTCTAAACGAAGAACGTAAATACTTTAAACTCGGATAAATTGCTATTTATCCGAGTTTAAAGTATTTACGTTCTTAGCAATTTCGATACAAAAGCGATATTATTTTTTTAACCATTTCTCCCCAAGCAAGGCGGGAGTGCCACTAGCACGCAAGGGGTTACAGGGAGTAAGAGTAAAGAAGCGTGACTTCAGGTAGAGAGGAACCCAGACGAAGCTATGCCGAAGGGTAGGGTCTCGTCTTGGGAAGTAGACGGGTCTACAGGGAATTATTGCCCGAGCGTCCACGCTCGGAAAACCCTACGTTAAAGACCAGCAGCGTCCCACCTTGTGGGGAGGTCTCGGGAAAATAGCGACGAATTAACGTTTAATCGTTACTCTGCCTGTCGACTCTCTGCCTCCGGGCGGAACCCAGGAGACATTATGCCGAAGGGCAGAGTCACGTCTGGGAAGATAGACAGCAACCTTGAGCTGTTAAAGCTAAATCAGTGTTAAGATCCGCTGTCAGGCTCTGATCATCTAGAATTGTACCGTTGTATCATCTACATAGATATTTACAAATGATCGGAGTATTCGCTTAAGCAGATCATTAATATAAACTGGAATAAGAGTGAACCAAGAAGTGTACCATGGGGGGACGCCTGCGTTGATCTCCTGAGCCACAGAGGATTGCTTATAAAGAAGAACCTTCATGGACCTATGAGTACCCTTGTGTAAATTAATTGAAACAACCGCTTTAGTTTCCTTTCTTTCACTAATCGGTCAGTTTTAGACGTACTGGTGTGACAGGGTGTAATCGATTAATATTTTTTCCTCAGATTAGGTCATTTAGGTGTATGATGAAATTTGTTTGGCCTTGAAAAATATTGCGTCATTCGTGCTTTTTATCACGCCCAGACACTATTGTCTCGAATGTCGATTAGTTGTCCTACCACCATTGTCTGCGTTGGACATTACTCAAGAAAGCGTACATTGTAACGCTGCATGAGCACAATGACAAGCCCTATCAGTGAGGAAATCAAAGTACCATCGACTGGCTCGGAAACTCTCCTAATTTAACTCCAATCGAGAATCTGTGGTCAATCTGCAAAGAAAGACTTCGTGAAATGGAAACACGAAGTACTAACATGTAGACCGAGTCATGTAAAAATACGAAAAAAAAAATTAAATAAAAACGGAATTATTCGTTTTGTTTCAATGAATCTGCACAAGGGTGTAGGTGATCATGGCCCTCCACATCTTCCTGTATAATTAATTTGAACAAGGTATCTTTGAAAGGACTTAATAAATGGGAAAATACTTCCAGTGATTCCCTAACTGGAGAGCCTGTATAGCAACCTTCTATGCCACATCTGATCAAAGGTTTATCGATATATCTAATGCAATTGTCCTCGCGGTGTCTATTATATAAAGTCTTGCCTATTTTGTGAGTAATGACAAGATATCTGTCGAAATCGGTATTGTTCGTCTCTCAAGAGTTCATCCCTATTAAGGCGCTCGACAATTCGTGTTGATTGCTCAAAGAGTTTTTTGATGACATGAAGGATGACGATATTGCGACGGGTATGATCACTCACCCGCATTCTTAAAAAACACGGTATACACTTGAGATCTTCTGTAGACTTGGGAAGATTTCTCCTTTAGGCACTGGTTAAACAATTTTGTTAAGATTGGAGATAACTCAGGTCTAATATACTTTAGAACAAAAAGTGGGATTTTATCTGGACCGATAGGCTTCTTAAGGATTTTGATAAATCTTTGAACCTTCCTGGCTGTGATAGAAGTATTATTAAATTTGTGCTCCCAGAAAGAGGGAATAACAGAAGTGGATGACATTGCCATTTAAGGTTGAATTACGTAATATATATTTGCAATAGCTAATATCCTTAAAAAATGAAGTATGGTGAACACGTATCTCACGGTGAGAACATGCTATTTACCCCAGTCCTCCCCACAAGGCGGGGTATGGCACAAGTCCCTTTTTTAAGTGGGGCGATACGAGGCCGTAGGCACGAGTAAAAATTGCCCGTAGACCCCTTAATAACGGGGTCGGGTTTGACTATCTAAACCCACACCACCACCACCACCACCACCACCACCACCAAGACGTGACTCTACTATTCGGCATATTCTCGTCTAGGTTCCACCCTGCCTAAGGTAGAGAGATCGACAAGCTGAGTATTGTCAAACCCAGAGGTTTCATAAACTCTAGGATAGAGTCAGAACACTCGGCCACGCAAATATATATATATATATATATATATATATATACCCAAGTATATGATTGGTATATATGGAATGAATTCCAATAACCAACAAATACTATTCTTAAAAGAGTGCTCAGTACAAAGTAGAGCAGATATAATTATTTATTTTAAAAAAAAAATTTATAACATAAATATGTTATAAAATCACATTTATGTCATAATTTTTTTTTTTAAATAAATAATTATATATATATATATATATATATATATATATATATATATATATATATATATATTGAACAATAAAAAAATATTAAAAATTAAAATCTTCAGACACAGTGGGTTGTAGATTAATATTCTTTCGGTTTTTATTATTATTTCATTTAGATTCCTCGACTGGTTTCGGCCAAAATGGCGATCATCAGGAGAAGAAATATTTCTGCTTGCTGGTAGCAGTAAACTACAGAAATGACATATATATATATATATATATATATATATATATATATATATATATATATATATATGTATAGTCATCCACAAACTGTTTCGGTGTATCACAACTCATCAGTGTGGCTAGTCATCCGATCGCTTCACATATTTTAATCATAAGTAGTATTTCGTGCCTGATCAGTTGGTAAAACTACGAAACTTAAGTCGCACCCCAAACGTAGGTATATGTATATTTATTAATATATATCACTTAGCTCTGTCTAACCACTGTTATGTTTACACCTTAAAGTAAATTTAGTAAATATTTATTTACTTTACTGTGTATGCACGCTAACGCGCGTAAATACAATCACTGTACACTATCTATATTATTCGAACTATTGTCCTCATCTTTGTCACCATATTTATTATAACGTTTCGGCCGTAGTACGTCCAGTCTTCTTCAGGTGGTTGGAATGTCGAACTGAACCCTTTATTTCGCTCACTCGGGTAGACTGTTCTAGTTCACGTGCCATGTTTTAATGGATGTCAGTTATCTCCTATTAATTCCCCTCTCCAAGTTCTCCACTGCCTTAACCGGGTATTGAAGTCACACTTTTTGAGTCCTGTCACTGAAACTAACTAACGCCTTTATTCACTGTGCCATGTGTCCTTGGTGTGAGAAGGCCGAAACCCTGTAATAAATATGGCGACAAAGATGAGGACAATAGTCCTAATAATGTAGATAGTGTATGATTACTAATATCTAATTATTTGATTTACACACACACACACACACACACACACACACACACACACACACACACATATATATATATATATATATAAAACATTAGGCAGCATATGATTTACATACAAAATTAATCACACATAAATTAATCAAGTATCAATCCATTCATTATGGATGAACAGTCACTTTAAAACATAACATATGCCATTAAAGTCCGGATCCCATTCAATAATCGCATTGATACTTGATTAATTATGTGTGATTAATTTGTATATATATATATATATATATATATATATATATATATATATATATATATATATATATTGAAGTTTCATGCCAAATGCAATCATCAGGCTTGATGATTGCGCCTCTGAGTGTTGACTTCAATGTTCAGTTTTATATTTATATTTACATACGCTCTATCACTGATATTGAACACTTTATCTCATAAATATAGCATACCTTCAAACTATTTCTTCATATATATATATATATATATATATATATATATATATATATATATATATATATATATATGCAGGTCAGATGAGAACGAATAGAGTACAATTCCAACGTTTCTAATGTTTAATTTAAAAGAGGGTTCAATACAAAGTAGCGAAATATTCATTATTTTAGAATATTGCATCGAAAACGTGTCAAACTCGCTACACAACTGCAGTCATTGTAAATTACTGGCAGTGAACGATTCATTCAAAGTAAAATAAATAGGATTTAAATGTTTTTCGATGTAATAGCCTAAAAGATAAATTTATATATATATATATATATATATATATATATATATATATATATATATATATATATATATATACTTGCGGCCATACCCAGCAGGTCGATCAGAAAAAGCGTTCAATTAGAATGGTGCAAAAACAGCATCATGTTTCGATGTAACAGAGTCTATCTTCTTCAATTACTTTAAAGTACTTTCATTACAAAAACATTTTGAATTAATGCAATTACTGATTGTTGAAACTTGACTAATGCATGGAATAATAATGCAACACAAAATGTACTTAGAACAAAATGTATTGAAACAAGAAAGTGTACACAGTATTTACATATAGTCTTTTGTATATTCCTGGTAAGACCGTTCCTGGAGAATGTGTTGACTTAGTCGCAGTCGGGCAGAGTCTCTGGTTGAATCTCTTGATTCCTCCCTCTCTTCCCGGTACCAACCATATTTATATGGTCGGTACTCCCCTATGCAAATTAGATGGATCCTACCACAACACTGATATAACAGAAGTAGTCTGTATTTATTCAATCAAATTTAGACGAGGACATGAAGAAGTAAAACAGGCAACATGAAGACCCACTTCAGACCACAATTATTTTGAAGTTTTTGATATTCATTTTGTCAGTGTGCTACCAGAGATGTAAAAGAGGATATATCTATAAAGCAATTGTTAAGTTTGATGAAAATTGGTTGAAAGATCAACGAAAAATAAGAAAGAAACCAGTAAAAATTGCCACGTTTCGCTATTTACGTGGGTTTTCTCTAAATGGGTTAACTCAATTATCAAGTTAAATTATTGTAAAACAATCAGCTTACTGTAGGCTACAATCGAGTGAAGTTTGTATTAGATTGCTTAAAAATTGAGGAGGTTGAAAATCTGTATTGAAATCGACTTTTGGCTTTTTGCGGTTTTTCGCTAAACGCAGTGACGTAGAAATAAAAATGAGGTATGGTTGAGCTCGTCGTCATGTAAGTAACCTATATACCGAGTTTGAACGAAATTGGCATAAAAAATTTGAATTTATTGATTTTGATTGGCTTCATCGATTATTGATTTTTTTAAATTATCGATTTTTTACACTAAGAACCTATCTCTTACATTGTACAATGTATATGCCAAGTTTGGTCAAAACCGGTTTGATGGATCTTGAGTGAAATGGTATCACACAGATAGACAGACAGAGAGACACACAGACGTCCTTTTGTTTTCATATATATATATATATATATATATATATATATATATATATACACTACGTCCAAATTATTATCGAGATAATTTTTTCTAATATTTCAAAAACCGTCCAATCAATTTACACAAAATTTTCACACAATGTTGGCAACACTAATGTAAACAAACTGGCGCCATATTTGTTATCAGCACGGTGATTGCGCAACTCAGCGTAGCCAACATTGTGTGAAAATTTTGAGTGAATTGATTGTACGATTTTTGAAATATTAGAAAAAAAGTTATCTCGATAATAATTTGGCACACAGCAGTGTA